TGCTTGGTCTTTGGATGTTTAATCAGAAGATTCTAGGATTCTCTGCTTTTTCAGGGATCACACACACACTTCGTATTAATTCAGAGAATCAAGTTTATAAAAGGTAAGAATTTATTTTCTAACCAAATTAAAAACATGACAAGTTAACTAAGACGACTGTGATGGATGAATCTAAGTGTATGGGATGTGATGTGTGGTTATTTAATGGTGTGTGTTTATCAGAACCTTGTATCTAGAAGAACTGAGTTCTGGGTGTGAAAAGAATTTGGTTAGCATTAAACTATGAAGTTGGTTCTTATCAAAACGGCATCAGGCGCATTCATGCTGTGTCTACCTCACCCTTTCTTTGGAGACCCCTTCACAGACCCGGAGGTTTGGGAGGTCGGATGACCTCTGGGCACCAAGGTTCAGTAGATTAACCGCAGCACCGACACTCCAGTCCAGAGATGTCGCCGGGCACACAGGTTGGAACTAGTGTGCGTCTAGAGCAGCTGTCTCTGAATAGCCGTTTTGCTGTGTCAGCTGTAGGCAGCTTTTAGCTTGTCGAAAGCTTGTCAAGAGATGCGGTGTGAGCAGAGTTTCCCTCCGATGGCCAGTCAGAGTTAACTCAACTAACAGAATGCCGAATCTCACAGAATGCTGGAATGCTCCGCAAGCAATCCTGTTTTAATATTATCATATTATAAATGACGTGGCCAATCGGGACGTGCCATGTTGAGGTGTGTTAACAAACAAACCTCAGAACATCACGCCTTCTTTCAGACACAGGATGATCTGATGTGTGAGTAAGAAAATATCTATGTGTGGTGACGTTACTTTAACTCATATCTAATGAACATTGTGTATAAGTGTAGATAATGATTGACTTGTTAAATCAAACATTACTGATCATACCACCAACATGTTTCATCGTAATAATATAATTCATTTCAACCACAGTAATTTAAGCACAGATTAATCAAAACATTTCATTAGTATTCATATAGCATTTGTTCATTCAACCATATTATTATTTAATGATTATTTAACTCATGCTTTGTAAAAGTTCCTTTTTCATGAGAGTGAGCAATCCTGCGGTCTTATCAAAAGAAGGCGTTGTTTGGGAACACAGGCTGACATCTTGTGCCTCCTGAAATGTCAAGGTTTGCAGAACATTGTAGCTTGTTGGAAGATAGAATGTAAAATCCACCTTAGAGGATGGAATTAGGTCTGTAGATGACCGGTGGCATGAAGGTCAATCTGTAGGTGAAAACTGACCATTCCTGGATGTTACATATAAAACTATTAGCTATTAGTTCAAAGACCAATAAATACCTAACTGCATCAGATGAACACATTCAGACAGTGTATATGAACTTTATTAACAGACACACCGGTCCAGTATAAAATAAGTATAAAATACAATAAAGACAAAATACATAAAAGTAACAGTGATAATATAAAATACATAGTGTAAAAAGGTCTGGTGTCACTGTTTTGGGTAAACTAAAACTTGAACCATCTCATTAACATAACTATTGAACCTCCACATGAATTTATACATAACATTTATCCCTACAGCATTGAATTAAGAGACGTGGTGCATAGCAAACATCTGACTCACGCTCCTTGGCCGTTTTAAAGTAATTCTTAACGCCACCTTAAGCTTTTTCATTTTTCCGTCTTAAAATGACATCATCAATGTACAATAAGTACAATAAGCAATAAAAATCGTTCTTGGGACGACGGTGGCACGGGAGTTAAGTGCTCGCCCCGTAGTTAGAAGGTTGCAGGTTTGAGCCCCGCTCAGTCTGTCGCTGCTGTTGTGTCCTTGGGCAAGACACTTAACCCACCTTGCCTGCTGGTGGTGGTCAGAGGGACCGGTGGCGCCAGTGTTCGGCAACCTCGCCCCTGCAGTGCGCCCCAGGGCAGCTGTGGCTACATCGTAGCTCATCACCACCAGTGTGTGAATGTGTGTGTGAATGGGTGAATGACTGATTGTGTTGTAAAGCACCTTGGGGGGTTCTGGGACTCTAGAAGGCGCTATATCAAATACAAGCCATGATGATCATAATATCATTAATGCAGGTATAGATTTTTTTTACAACAGGTCCATATTTTGTTTTAAACAGAAAAAGCTTTGATGTATTTGGAATTCATAATGAATGTATAAACTAGTCAAATAATTCAAATAAAACCCAAATACAAATTAACCTCCTGAGACACTGCGTCCACACATATACGAACGTTGGCTTCCTGCACTAGAATTTGTTTTATTATTTAGAACATTTATTATTGAATGTAAGTAAAAAATATATTTTATTCCAGTTTATTTTCTAGGAAACCTGTTGAGATTCTTACTTAATTTTATTTTACATCACACCAAATACATATTCAGGTTTCAGGAGGTTAACAATAATATAGTCAAAAAGTTACATGTAAAAATGATAAATAAAGGTAGAATTCATAATGAAGCTTTAATAACCATCAAATAGATGATGTGTGTTTGTGAGAGCAGCCCAACATAAACCAAGACAGTATTTAACCCTGACTGTAATACTAGTATCATCTTACTTATAAGGGTTGGCCATCTACAGAAGCATAACAAATTTAACAAACATAAATAAATAAAACATTTGTTTTCATGTGCTTAAGTTTTACTTTTTCCTCACTGCAGAACAGTTACATTACATAATGTCATTTTAGTTAGCAAGCTTATAGCATAGAGGTGGCTCTGGCAGTGTATTACTGTTAATGCAAGGAAACAAATTAAGGATGGCTATCTCGTAATGACGAGAAACTTTCTTGTTAAAACGTGATATAAATCTTGTTTTACCGAGAACGTTTCTCGAAATAACGTGTTCAAACGGATTAAACCGGCGGGATGATTGAATCACGTCCAGAAGAAACAAGATGGAGTCAGAGAGAGCTTCTTTATGTCTTTTCAAAAAGCAAAAATCAGTCAGAAGAACGCATTCCTTCTCACTTTCTCAGGTCGTCGTTTACTTTGAACAGAACGGAGAAAACAGCGCTCACTTGGATTTCTGGACCGAGCTATATCGTGATACATCCCCTTTGTAGTTGAGGTGCGGCTTTCAGCATAAAAGTTGTCTTCCTGTTTGTGCTTTTTCACATTTAAAGACAGAAGACACACCATCAGAAAATGTAACTCCACCCCAGCCAAGATTTGAAAAATGCAATGAAAGTGGACGTTGTCAGGAGGCAGAATGGCACAGCCAAGTGTGGGGAATTTCCATCTCTGAGGGAAGGGGGAGTGGGAGGAGACTGTGCCGATGACGTGAAATTGTACCAGCCCCAGTCAATCACAAATTTAAAATGCAGTAGCCACAGTTCAACCTACAGGGGGCAGCACTAAGATTTTTTGAGACTGAGATTCTAGATTTAACCAAGTTTACACAAACATGTAAAAAAAATGCACAGAAACAGAATGATTGCATTTGTAAAGACCCAATTATACAGTTTACAAGCAAAAATGTGGGGGTTTAGTTACCCTTTAAAAACTTTGAAACATTTTCACATCAATAGAATGATATGCATAAAATATATGTCCTGATATTACACTAGCATATTCTCTCTGTGTGGGAAATCTGTGGGTGTTTTTATGTTGTTAGGTGTCCACAAGTAAACGCAAACTATCTGTATGAAGAGCTGTCAGTCCTTGGCAACGGGTTGTGTATGACAGAGCCAGCAGAGAAGAGAGCTAGCTAGCGTAATTTGTTGATTCAAGCAGCGTTGTTTGGCGTTTTTACCCTGTTGTTGCGACACTGCTGCTGCTGTTCTTCCTGAAGGTTCAACATCAGGAACTGGAGCTGCCTCATTCCTTCTGAGTAGATGTTTTATCGACACATTTTACCGTTATAATCTTCCTCGTTACAAGTTATTAAACTTGTCGTTTCCAGAAAGTTTCTCGTTCAAACAACTTTTATATGTCGTTATTACGGCAACGCTTCTCGTGAAAACGAGAGACATTCTCGTTTTTACGAGATGCTGACCCTTCATTTTTTTCCTTACATAGCCACCTGTATGCTATAAGCTTACTACTTAAAATGACATTATGTGACATAACTGTTCTGCAGTGAGAATAAATGTGAAACTTAAAGAGCAAGTCAACCCCAAATCAACTTGTTTTCCCTGATAAACTATATAAACGTGTGTCTAATCGTGCTGCAGACATGTGTAGTCAATAGTTTTGCACTTTAGTGCATTTTAGTTACAAATTTAATTTTCTGCCTGAAACTGTCAGTGTTGTGCCGTTGTCAGGTAAAAACTCTGCACTGCATTTGAATTTAAATCTGCCATCGCTATTGGCTAAGAGGTACCCTAGAACGTTAGCTGGTACCATATGATGTCACAATGTTCTTGTGAGCCTGTGTGTGTGTGTATTTGTTAGTGACTCCGCCCTCTCGGCCTGCTAGGCAACAGCATTTGTTGCATTTTTCAAACAGGAAGTGGGAGTTGAGTAAAACTCTGGTAGGGGGTTGACTTGCTCTTTAAATACATGAAAATAAATGTTTTTTTCTTTAGCCTGTGAAATTTTTAATCAGCCTTAATATCACGCTGTTTGTTTTTCTGCAGACTAATGTGTCATTTAGCCAAGCTTAAGGTGGGTGGGGTCATTTTGCCATGGCCCCCAAAATGTCTTGAAACGACCCTGGGTGTGTGACTGAGTTTTGAAGGTGATCTGAATTGTATCAGATGTATAAATATGCCCACACACACACACACACACACACACACACACACACACACACACACACACACACATCACTACAAGTAAATTACTAATTCACTCCAGAGTTTCCTTAAACAACTCACTGAGGTATGCTTGGATCCCCACCGTACTCAGCCTCTGATCAGGTTCCTCACAAGTCTTTTTGAGGTCACCGCAGGACCCTTCTCTATCAGTGTTGTGATGTTTTTGTTTGGGTAGTGGTTACTATCATGGTAAAATTCACTCCATGCATCTGTTTTAGTGAACATGGATGGTGTTTCTGTCCTACCTCTGTGCTGTTGGTGTCTTTGCTCAGTGTCATTGTGGTCTGGGCAGGGTGGTACCAACAGTTCTCCTTCACCAACAGCCAGTAGTCCGTAGCAAAGGCCACGATCAAACACAGGGTCCCCAAAACCCCCAAAGTCCCCCCAGCCAAGGCTGCCGCTCCAACTCTCATGATGATGTCGATAAAATGTGTCTTAGCTCCTTGTTGGTGTCCACTTTAAATCATCTGTCCAAACCCTGCCCAAAAGAAAAAAACATGAATGTCCCTGCCACTCCCTGGCATGCTGGGAGGAAAGAAGCTTCAGTAACCCAGGAGGTCAGACTGGGGGGACAGGAGTTATTTTGGGAGGCAGCAAGTCCGTCCTCGTCAGATTTCTACAGGGTGTGTTGTGCACATTTGTGAAAGAAACAAGGAGACACATGCAGAGCTGAGTCTGCTCATATGGACGGATGGATTTAGTTTCTACGACTGCAACGCATTTCTTCGCTAGATGCTACCGTTGGTGTGTCCCTTCAAAGTGAGCTAGACTGAAGATGTAAATGATCCTTAAACATGGAGCACTTCCAAAGCCTTTATTGTAGCTGTCAAACACTCAAGATGATGTTTTTGATCAAGTTTTTATAAAGTCACCGTGCCAGGGATTGGACTCATGTCTGTCAGTCTCATTGGTGCTTCTCGTTCTCCATATTAAAGCTGAGCTGTTTCTTTAGGGTTCCAATCCAATCCAATTTTATTTGTATAGCACATTTAAAAACAGCATGCCAGCTGACCAAAGCACTGCACAGAGTTAAACCTAAAAAGCCATTCAAATTCACATACATACCGGTATACATAAAACACAATTAAAAACTGTCATAAAATAGAAACACCTAAAATCAAAACAAAAATTAAAACAGCCAATAAAAACAGAAGTCAATAAAAGCAGACGTTACAAAAACAGAATAGAGGCACAGCATAAAAGAACGATCACTGACCAAAAGCTAAATTAAAGAAATGTGTCTTTAGGCTGGATTTAAACTGTGCCAGTGAGGAAGCCTGGCGTGCCACCAGAGGGAGTGCGTTCCAGAGTCTGGGAGCAGCAAAGGCGAACACACGCTCTCCACGAGCTTTGTACTTCATTTTAGGGACTTTGAGCAGTAGATGATCAGCAGACCTTAGTGACCGGGAGGGGATGTAGGGGGTGAGCAGCTCTGACAAGTTTAAGGGGGCTAGACCATTCAGGGCTTTGTAGGCAAAAGTTAAACCTTTGTATTGTACTCAAAAGTGCACAGGAATCCAGTGTAGATCAGCCACAATGAGAGTGATGTGACAGCGTCTTTTTGTATTTGAAAGAAATCTTGCTGCTGCATTCTAGACGTTCTGCAGACGATTGAGGACAGATAAATTTGCACCGATAAGAAATGAGTTGGTAGACGAAGATCTATATCATCAAAGGAGGTCCCAGGAGAAGGGAGGAGTCAAAGGCCCCACCTGACATATACAGTCATACACAAACACAGTCACACACTCCCTCCCTCATGCTCACACATGCACATACAACCAAAGACTTACAAAAATACACGCCGGACACCCATTCATGCTCCCCATACACACCCTATTCACTCTGGTCCCGGTAATGCTGCACATGGGGTACAACCACCACCGGTTACCAGAGTTTGACCCTTTCTGCTGGGGTGCTGATGAGCAGGCTCCCCCGCCCACCGCCGAGCACAGCAACCCACCACCCCAGACCCCAACCAGACGGCCAGATCTCCCTCCTAGTCTCCAGCCCCAGGCAGCCAAGCAACAACAGAGGTGTGCTAAGACCCCCTGGTCTCCCTCCACCTGCGTCTCCCCTCCCCCCTGTCACACCTGGTGTGGGTGTGATGCCTTGGTCTGCCTGAGTGTTCGTGGATCCCGGGTCAGGGAGTTTAAGATTTTTGGCATCTGCCTGATCAATCCCGGTGGCGGCCTGGGGGGGTCTGGGTCCCTGGGCTCTGCTGGGTCCCCGGCGGGGGTGGTCGCCCCTGGGTCCCGGGTCGCTGGGTCCCGGACTCGGCCGGCTAGGGGGTGGGAGGCTGCGGGCAGGCCTGAGGACTTGCCGCTGATATCTCCCGGGGCTCTGCCGGCTGCTGGTTGTGGCCCCCCGGGGCGATCCTCTGTGCCTCTCGAGGGGGGCGGGGGCCTTTCTGGTTGCGGGCTCCTTGGGGTTCCTGTGTTCTGGGGCAGCGCCTGGATCTCTGGGACTTGGAGCTCCCCCCCGTCTCCTACGCGTCTTTGGGGGGCAGATCTGTGGTCCCTCACACTCTCTATTGGACGCTCCTATAGATAAACCTTACATAAACAAGCGCGTGTACACACACAGGTGCTCACATGGTGCTCTCATAAGTATGGGCTTGGGCACGTTCAACACATGTCTTAAGACTATGGTGGGCACTCAATGCACTGTGGTATATTATCGTGTGACTGTTTAGTTAAACAATGATTGATTATATATTTCTTCATCAAGTTGACGCAGTGATAGCTTGATTTTGTTATATTGGTGTTGTGTCCCATTTTTTTGTTATGTTTTGCTTTTTTCTCGTCTCATTTTGCAGGTCTAGAAGCAGACTCTTGTTCATTATTGTTTATTTTTGTTGAATCCCCCCCCCCCACCTAACCCCCTCTCTCCCCACCTTTTCTCTTTTCCTTTCTCTTTCACCTCTGTCTCCGTGTCTGGTCGAAATTACAAAGCATTCAAAAACAATAACAATAAAGTTTTAAATATCAGGTGCGACATTAAAAGCAGACTCTTTGATGCTCCACCTGAGACATTAAAAGCAGATGCTCTGATGCTCCACCTGAGAGTAAAACTGTAAGGCTTGTTACCAGCATTCAGACATCAATTCTGCTTGCTTCACAGCCAGACAGGACACGTTAATAAAAAAAAAAAAAAAAAAAAAAAAAGAAATGAGTTGGTAAATGATAAATGCATGAATCACTGATTCTAAGTGTGGCCTCTTAAGAATGGGCTTTAGTCGGGCAAGGCGACGAAGCTGGAAGAAGCAGGATCGAACAGTGGCATTAACATGTACACTCATTGACAAGTCAGCATCCAGTTTAACCCCAAGGCTGGTCACACATGAATTAAGGTTTAGGGGGGAGAGATCAAAGGCAGCAGAAGTATGCAGATGATGTTTTAGTTTGAAGAGAATGGCCTCAGTCTTATTGTCATTGAACTTCAGGAAACTGGAAGCTAGCCAGGTTTTAATTTCTGAGAGACATTCTGAGAGCTGGGTAATGGAACTTGACTGATTTAAAACCATATAAATTTGACAGTCATCAGCATAAATGTGATAATGCAAGCCATGTTTAGCAATTATATTTCCCAGTGGAAGAATATATATATATATATATATATATATATATATATATATATATATATATATATATATATATATATATATATATATATATATATATATATATATATATATATATATATATATATATATATAAAAGAGGAGTGGACCTATAATAGAGCCCTGGGGAACTCCCCAGGGGAGCGGGACAAAAGGAGTAGAGCAGTCGCCTATTTGAATGCTAAAATTTCTTTCAGACAGATAGGAGTGAAACCAGTTTAGTGCGGTCCCTGTGACTCCAACAAAAGATTCCAGCCTGGTTAGCAGAATGTTATGGTCAACCGTATCGAATGCCGCTGATAGGTCTAGCAGTAGTAACAGAACAAAGGAACCAGCATCAGTTTCTGTCAGAATGTCATTTAACACACGAATATGTGCTGACTCAGTGCTGTGATTTGGCCGAAAAGCAGACTGAAAATGGTCGAGTAGTGAATGTTCCAGTAAATGATGTGAGTTGAGCATGTACCACTATTTCAATAACCTTTGATAAAAAAGGAAGTTTGGAAATTGGACGGAAACTTGCATAATCATTTTGATCCAGGCCATGTTTTCTCAACAGCGGTTGGACGACCGCCTTCTTAAAGGATTCTGGAAACACTCCAGAGGACAAACTGGAATTTAAAATATTCAGAATAAAAGGACCCACTACTGGTAGAACCCCAAGTTCATAGACCTGATTAATTTATCCAGATCTTGAAGGGAGACATGATCAAAATCAGAGAACGAAGGAGAACAGAGTGACTCCTTCTGGGTAACAGGTCCCAACAGATTAAGTCTAATAGTACAGATTTTTTCCAGGAAATTTTTCTGAAAATCAGTGCATAGTGCTGTAGTTTGTGTGGAGGGGGCGGTGGATTCCTCTAGTGAAAGAACAGAGTTAATGGTACTGAAAAGCTTGCGTTGATCACCACAATGCCTCTCAATGATGTTGGCAAAATAATTATTTTTAGCTGATCTGACAACTTTTTGGTGAGCTGCCAGGGAGTCTTTCAGCATTTGGAGGGAAATTTGTAGCTTGTCCTGTTTTCATCTACGTTCATGTGTCGTACACTGGCGCCTGAGAGCACGAGTGTTGTTGTTTAACCAGGGATCAGAGATGGTCTTTTTTTTTGCCTGAGTTTAAGCGGTGCAACAGAGTCTAGGGCAACAGAACAAGCCATATTGAAGGAGTCCACCAAACCATCTACCCCCACCGATGTAGATGGGGAGAAAGATGTTAATAGGCCAGCCTCCAGATGACAGCATGACAGAGGACGAGGGAGCAATATACCGGGCATAACGTTTAGCCTGATGCCTTGTAGGGAGAGATGCCAGGTTTGAGATATTAAAAATGATTGGAAAATGATCAGAGATACAAACCTGATCTACAAATAAATCAGAAACACAGAGTCCAAAAGATAAAACTAAGTCCAGTGTATGGGAGCGTTCATGGGCAGGATCTTTGACCAGTTGCTGTAGATCAAACAAATCTAAAATGTCCAAAAACTCCCTTACCAAGGGCTTTGTGGGACAGCAGATATGAATATTAAAATCACCAAGGATAATCCCTCTTTCATATTTTGGGAGGATATCATGGTGGCACAGTTGTTGGCACTGTTGCCTCGCAGCACGAAGGTTGCAGGTTCGAAACTCGGCCGCGGCCTTTCTGCGTGGAGTTGCGTGTTCTCCCCGGGTACTCCGGTGTCCCCCACAGATCACAACATGCCCGATAGGTTATAAAATTGTAAAGCGCTTTGGATAAAAGTGTCTGCCTAATAAATAAACATAAACATATCAGCTAAAAAGTCTGAAAATTCATTTAGAAAGACTGAGTTATACTTAGGTGGATGATAACAGAGAGCACAGAGTACAGGTGGGCAGGAGTCTAATTCCAACACTGACAGCTCAAAACTGGAGGGAGTCACAAAACCAGAGAGTGGTTTCAGACGGAGAAAGGAGTTGTATAAAGGAAGCAAACCACCACCATGACCAGAAGGTCTAGGCTCATTTAAGACTAGGCAATCAGGAGGATAAAGTTCTGATAGAGGGGCCGACTCACCAGGCTGGGCCCAGGTTTCAGTCAGAAAGAACAGGTTTATTGACTGGTCGATGAAATAGTCTTTCAGAAAAGCCGTTTTATTCCCAACTGACGGGACATTCGTGAGCGCAATCCTGAAGAGTGAAGCAGATGTCACCTTAGGATAGCTAAGGTTAGCCAAGTTAGCCACACTGCTTCGCCGCCGTCGAAAGCCACCGTCCATGCGATCACTCTCAGGGGTCTTCCGACAGAGGGTTTGAATGGACTCCGCCTGCCAGTGACAGAGTTGAGGATCCGGTTGCAGAGGAATGATAGTTATCAAAGACGAGGCTTCGCTTGGCATCCCCCCCGCCTGCGTCAGCGGCGCCACTTTCGGAACCATACTGGACGCGGGGCGGTGAGCAGAAACGTTGGGACCATAGCAAACAGCGAGCCAAAAAACCTTCCAAACTCATGCCTGTGGAACTGAAGAGATCCGAGGTTCTGCCGGAGATCGACGAGGGTAAGTCGGTCATATGAGATAACAGTAATGGGTTCGGTAATCCAGCAGTTTGTAAACACAACAATAAGAAACAAAAACAGGAGCGGCAGACGAGCAGCCATTACAGCAGGCACCATCTTCCTTGATTTTAACATCGAGAACTGTTGAACCAGGGTTCTCTCTGCAGGCGCCTGATCTTCTTCAGCTGGATTTGAATCCAGAAGCTGGTTTTGGTTTGAGGTCGTAGAGGTCAAAGCAAGGATCGTCCTTAGGCTGATAGAGCACACTGCCAGACACAGTCATGTGAGACAGGCTAGGTGAAATCCATCCATCCATCCATCCATCCATTTTCATCCGCTTATCCGGAGTTGGGTCGTGGGGGCAGCAGCCTAAGGCGAGAGGCCCAGACTTCCCTCTCCCCAGCCGTTTGGGCCAGCTCCTGTGGGGAATCCCAAGGCGTTCCCTGGCAGGTGAGAGACATAGTCCCTCCACCGTGTCCTGGGTCTACCTTTAGGTGTCCTCCCGGTTGGACGTGCCCGGTAAACCTCACCAGGGAGGCGTCCAGGAGGCATCCTTACCAGATGTCCAAGCCACCTCAACTGTCTCCTCTCGATGTGGAGGAGCAGCGAGTCTACTCCGAGCCCCTAATGGATGACTGAGCTTCTCACCCTATCTCTAAGGGAGAGCCCAGCCGCTGTTCGGAAAAAACTCATTTCGGCCGCTTGTATCGGCGATCTCGTTCTTTCGGTCACTACCCAAAGCTCATGACCATAGGTGAGGGTAGGAATGTAGATCGACCGGTAAATCGAGAGCGTCGCCTTCTGACTCAGCTCCCTCTTCACCACGACAGACCGGTACAACGCCCGCATCACTGCAGATGCAGCACCAATCCACCTATCGATCTCACGCTCCAGTTTTCCCTCACCCGTGAACAAAACCCCGAGATACTTAAACTCCTCCACTTGGGGCAGGACCTCATCCCTGACCCGGAGAAGGCATTCTACCCTTTTCCGAATCAAGACCATGGTCTCAGATTTAGAGGAGCTGATTCTCATCCCAGCTGCTTCAAACTCGGCTGCGAACCGCTCCAGCGAAAGCTGAAGATCACGTTCTGATGAAGCCAACAGGACCGCATCATCTGCAAAAAGCAGAGACCTGATCCTCAGGCCACCAAAACGGATGCCCTCCACACCTTGGCTGCACCTAGAAATCCTGTCCTTAAAGGTTATGAACAGAATCGGTGACAAAGGGCAGCCTTGGCAGAGTCCAACTCTCACTGGGAACGAGCTGGGTGAAATGCCTTTGTTATCTTTTTTCATTTGAGAGTGTTATGGCTCACTGGGAAAATGTGGCAATAATGAGTTTGTGTGTATCGTATTTAATGAGTCACTGGATTGATTTTGAAGTATTGATGGATGTACGTCTACACCTGATTAGTTTTTGGAGTCAACCCAGTTCAACATAGCCAACATTTCACCCAAATGACATTGAACGCTAGCTATTACCATTCACTTACAATGTTTATAATAAGCTAAAGCTAACAAAATAGTCCAGATTAGATGAATAGCTGGGTTGGTTGCAAATTGCTTTCTCCCACTTCTCTGACTCTGGGGAATATGGGTAGAATAGGCCTTTAGCTGTATCAGTCATTGCCTGTGATTAGGGATGGGTACCTTTGACATTTGAATCAATTCGGTACTAATTCCCGGTACCTAGGAATCGATACCAGTACTTAAATACAATTTTAAATACTTTTGAGTGTTTAATATTTTAATCCTCTTTTACAATAAAATATATATTTTTCTCAATATATAACCATATTTGATAAATATCACGATAAATAACATACAACTGTTTGTATTTTAACATCGTCCTTGTAGTTTTATAAGCTGATAATTAAACTGAAGCAAACATCTTTACTGTGAACTAAATTTACTGTGTATCTTCATTCCTTTTGTCGTCCTTTTTCATTTGATTTTTCCTACTGGGAAGTTAGAATTTCAGAGGAGAGAGCGAACGCACCATCAGCTGATAACAATGGTGGCAATGGAAGCTAATTTATCAAGCTAACATTATCTTAAACAGTTTATTTAGCTGCTGGAACAGATTAAAACGATGATGCCTCACACTGAGATCGTTGTCGCTGGTTTCATCTTCACCCAATCACCCGTCGCATTTAGTAAAGTGAAGCCAAACTTTAGAGCGCATTCATGTTTTTCCAGTCGGATATTCGGAGTTCTGAGGAGAAAGCGAACGCACCATTAGCGGAACGGAAGCTAACAAATCAAGCTAACATCATCTTAAACATTTTATTTACCTACCGGAGCAGATTAAGATGAGGATGTCTCACTTAGATCGTTGTCGCTGGTTTCATCATCACCTAGTTACCCATCACATTTAGTGAAGTGGACCCAAGCTTTAGCGTGCGTTCTTTCTACCATGCTGCTCTGTTTACAACTCACTCGCAGCGACCGACGACATAACGCTCTTGCGCATACGCAGCTGTCTAGGCAAGTTCTCGTTATGAAGGACGGGTACCGAATATCTATATATGAGCCATTTGCATGTGTCACTCCTGTCCAAATTTGTGTTCCACCCCAATTTTTTTTCTAGACACGCCACTGAAATCGAGTCACTTTCTCACTTTGCTGAGTGAGTTTCATGGTTGATTCCAGCTACAACTCAGCACCAGGAGATTCTAGATGACAAACAAAGATGAGTCCTACAGCAAATTGACATGTAAACAAATACATTTCACTGTAACATCGAGTTGTTAGTAAGTGAAAAAGAAGCTTGAGATATTTTTTAGAGCCGACCATTCACCATTAGTATTGTTAGCTCAACAATAGCCTCTA